GGTCGACGCGCAGTTCGCAGATGTACACGTGCTCCTCGCGCGCGCCCACGGGACGACCCTGACAACACACAAATAAAACTTAGTCAAACTTTCGTGAGACATTATACTATATTTAATAAAAAAAACGCGTCTTAACTGACGTGAAAAAATCGGTATAGGCACCGACCACTTTCAAACCCGTCGGGGGTCCTTCATCAGGGTGAGTAATTAACGGATTTGTTCGCTATCACGCCACGCCAGTCACTGAGGTTCACTTGAGTTATGCTGTGTTTTATAATATGGATAAAGACAAATATGTTCACACTGTTCAAGTTAAGTATTTTTTTTTTGGATATAATTGAAAATTGTGCATAACATCATCCACATGTCAGAGAATCGCACATTGGAGAAACCCTTCGATAAAAGGTGAAAGAGAGACATCGCGAACCTCAGGAATAAGACAACATTGCAGAGAGAGAGAGAAAGAGAGAGAGAGACAGATAATTGAAAAAGGTTTGCTTAATATGGTTTAGACACATTGAAATTATGAACGAAGAGATATGATCAAAGGATTTTTCCAGCGTGTAAGTGACGTGTAAAAGAAGCAAGTGTCAAGATCAAATCGAATGGAGGTCCGCGGTCTCTATCTAGCCCTCTGGGTTACGAGCGTAAGTTATATTGTTCTTTTATGTAACAATACCTTGCAGTAGGTGTTAAGATCCATAACCCAGCACTGTGACATAACCAGTTCTATCGGAACCGCCTCGTACAGCGGCACTCTCATTACTTCATTCGGGAAAAACCTGGAAAATTTAATTAAATTCTTTAATTAAAATATATAGTTATAAAACGATATATGACAAATAAATACATATTTAAAATTCACCTTAGTTTCATTCACAACCAAACATCTTTTGGTATCATAACGTTGGATATTTCCAAAACGGACTGTGACAAAATTTTATTCACAGAATAACATATAAGCTACTAAGTATTTTTGTTAATTCCGGACGAAGTCGAAGGCAACAGCTAGTGATGTAAACCAAAATCTTATAATCTCATAATATTATAAAAGCGAAAGTTAAGATAGATGCATGATTGTTAGATAGATAGTTTGTTGCTAAAACTGCTGAATGGAGTTCGATGTAATTTGGCATAAACGTGGACAATAGTCTGGAAGAACACGTAGGCTACTTTTGTTTTACGGACGAAGTTGCGGGCAAAAGGTAGTAAATAATGAAAGGGTAGTACTAACTTCCTGGTGGGTTCGTGGAAGGTCTCGTGCGGGCGCAGGTAGTGGTGTCCGTAGACGTATCGCTCGTGCGTGTCCTTGTGCTTCCAGAGGCGCTCCACGCGGAAGATGTCCAGCTCCGACACCGCCACCGAGCCGATCGTCTGGTACGTGTGCTTGCGCACCTCCGCGCCCCCGCTCCCACACACCTGCCGTACATAACACCTTTTTATTTTATTCGTTAAAATGATCATGAAGTTATTATAACTGATGTTAACATTTCTTTTTCAATATAGTCTTTAAATTAATATGTCTTTGATTGCCACGCAAAATTATATAAGAAATCTAAAACAAATTTAGAGCTAGTAAAAAAATAAATATATGTGCTTGCTCAGATAATGCACGGACGACGCAGGCCGCTCCTACGCTAGTTTTCAGCTGACTCCCTTACACATAATATAGTATTCACATAACTTAGTATTAAACTCCAATTTGAATATTGTTTACACAGCTTATTCCATTCAATGACTTGATTATAGATCTAACTTTTTTTCTAACAAAAGGGGGCAAACGAGCGGCAAGAACACCGAGGTGGTCAACGACTCCCATGGACACTCGCAACATCATAGAAACCTTTACTTAAATTTTAGGAATTAGGATTAACAATGTCAAGTTTAAAAAAAGTAAACTACCCACGGAGAATGTGCATGGTTCCCCACAAACCTAAAAGTTTAAAGACCTAAAGTATAAGAAAAAGAGAGTGTATTTCATATATTTGAAATAAATAAATAAAATAATGAATAAGTGTACGGACCTTATTAGTGTCATCTTTATCCTTTCCTTTGGGCAGCTTGAGTTTCTTCCTGTCTGTGCGCTCTGTGCGGTCTGTGCGTTCCGTGCGGTCTGTGCGGTCTGTGCGCTTTGCGCGCTGCGAGTCGTGCGCGTCAGTGGCGTGTTGCGCGTCGCCGTGCGCACTAAGGTCGGGGCGGCGCGCGTCGATAGGTATGTCGCGTAGAACATACACCGTGTCCCCCTGCCGCACCTGCAGCTCGCCGCGCATCAGCGACAAGTAGAACTGATGCCCGTCCTCCGTGTACTCGTCTAGAGGTATCTCACGATCCACCTGTAATATTGCAAAAATATAAAATCAATGATAACCTAACCAGGAATATAAAAATCATTGCCTTTTTGCAGAAAACAATTGTCTACAACGCCGATGGATGGGATGGCGCTTAAAAAATTGTCTTGTAGCTAACCAACGAAGCGGTCGCGATTTACCAAAAATCACCAAACGTCATGTCATGACTTAAATTTCAATTTAATTTAATTTTTTTCATTTTCTCTGTTCATCAGAACGTGATTTAACAGAAGCGATTCCATCTCTCTCAGGCTAATCCCTCTTGTTTTTAAGTTACTTACATAAACAAAGCCTGATTACGCTATATTATAGTCCTAGCTGTTGCTCGCGATTCACTTGCGTGAAATTAACAACATAGCCTATGCCACTCACTGAAGCTTTACAAAGATGAAAGAATTTTTTAAAAACGGCCCAATAGTTTTTTGAGTTATTTCAATACATACAAAATCTTTCCTCTTTATAGCATTAGTATGGATTAGTATAGATATGATAGAGTTATGTGGAGGATAGAGTTTTATACCGAAAAAAGTATGGATGGATTGTGTGCAAAAGGATATGCTTAAGAAAGGAGTGGATTCAGATATGACGGCTGATAGAGATGTATGGAAGAGCAGCACATACTGTGCCGATCCTCCGTAAGGGATAAGGGCAAGTTGATAAGAGTTATGTGTAGGACAAAAACCTGTTCCGCCGAGGATGAAGATGATGAGATTATTATATACTAGCTGTTTCCATGCGACTTCATCCGCATGAAATTATGAAAATTTTATTTTATAGTTTACATTTGTCAAATTATCAATTACAAATGTCAAAATGACCTGACATGATGACAACCTTGCTTCTTTGATATTGACAGCAACTTATGGTCTCTTTCCCACATTAGTTTTTATACAAAATATTTACCCCCTAAGTTTAATGGTGTTAAAATATATAGCCTAAAGTGCGACGCAAGTGTAGGGCTTTACATTAAAAAAATAATTATTCAAAAATATGCTGTAATTGCTGACATCTTAGGCAACAAAGAAGTGTGTGTTTACGCTTTATTATAATAGTATATATGTATGAACAGCGTGTGTACCGGTGTGTGCGAGCAGTTGTGGCAGTAGTGCGGCGCGCGCGTGTCGGCGACGCGCATGCAGCGCGCGTGCTGCCACACGCCGCAGCGCGCGCCGCCGCACTGCACCATCAGCCCCTCCTCCACGTGCAGCCCGCAGATGCACAGGATCACCTCCTCTGTCACACAAACAAACATTAATACTTGTCGCCCGCGCCTTTGTCTGCGTCCAGTTGAAAAAAAAAGTGATTAGTCTATAATCTACATGTTCTTTCGGACTATCCTCTGCATCTATGCCAAATTTAATCAAGATTCATTTAGCAGTTTAGACTACAAACTTCAACAAACATCCATCCATCTACATTTTCTCATTTGTAATATTAGTAAGACTATGGCTTTCAAACATTTTACGAGCTAGGAACATCATACAAACAGAATATATGACAGCGCCCTGCTCTAGAGCCGCCTACAAAACTCAAAGAGCAACATTAACTCTATTTAAAAAATCCACAGCAGGACAATATAAAATAGAATTGGCGCTATATTTTTAAACGATGTTTAACTACTATAGTAGTTAACTGTTTATGTAAATAAATGACACTTACCAGTTTTAACCTTTTGTATGAATCCAGACGGCAAAGATTCTTGCGGTCCCAAAATTTTTTGCAATTGTTCGGCGAAATCCGACTTTGCAGCGTTGTACACCTAAACAGAAATTTAAATATGATTATTTTTATGTTAAATTATGTATTCTTAAGATATTAGGTACTTTGCACATTACAGATGAATTTTATTTGCACATATATTTCCACCTCATTCTTGTATTCCTTCATTAAAACATTCACGACAAATTTTTAAGAAATATCTATATTATACAATTAACAAAATTAGAGTGTCTGTATGTAACATTGAATGAAAAAAAAAATCTAATTTCATACACATAACATATTTGTTTTACTTATACAAAAGGCTAATTTAAAAAAAAATTGCCTGATTTGAAGGGCCATTGACTAAAAGGTAGCTGACGCAATAATAAAGGCAACTTTTCTGTTCTAAACTAATCTCAGGCGAATGCTAATAACCTTTCTGAGTTGTGCGGCTGCGGCCCCTATGTCCGTATTCCGTCCATGTTCCCGTATAACCGCAG